GAACTATTTTCTATGTGTGATAATTTAGAAATGCACTCTGCTTAATTGATGTTATCCAACTGGTAATAGGTTTTGTTTCATATTTTAAAGAAATTGTGCATGTTATTAATGTATTTCTGATTTTGTTTTTATATTGTGAAATTTGAGAAACCATTGTATCAGAGGTGCTGTTAGACAAATAACTTGTCTTAATCTGGATGCTATTAGATTACAAATAGAGCTTTTAAAAATATGACAAAATAGATATTTGAAAACTGTTAAATATTTAGTGGGGTATATATTTTGTTTTAAAATATATAATAATGATAATAATAATTTACTATTGAGGGAAAGTTGCATAGACCCTCTAAGATATGTGTGAGTATCCTTGAGACTTTGTATTCCTGTATTCAGGCAGGATCATAATTTTTTTTCAGTTCTGCTGAATGTATAAAATTCCACAGGATTGAAGTTTTAGAACCTAGAACCAAGAAAATAGAATCCCCTCTTCCACTCCTTGTCAAAAGGGGGAAATTTATAAGTTTACTATAACAAAGAGTGATTTTCATCTGAAATTATTTGGCTATCACCTCTGTAAAATTATTAAATAGCATCTGAATAGTCTGTAATGGAGTTATATTTTTGAGTCAACTTGATAATGGTGGACTTTGAATTCAAGGATTTTAAGAGAGGGTCTTTAAATCTGAGGTCTATTGTTGCTGTGAGTTTTGAGTCAATTATCATGTGTAATTTTATTTTAAGTTTATAAGTGAAGGATAAATGAAATGTAACTGTGAGGGTCATCTGCAAAATGGCAGATCTATTCAGAACCAAAGATTAGAGTGTCTGGCAGCAGAGAGGAGAACCCCTTAGAGTGAATTATTTGGTGGTAGATGCAGAAAGCCCAAGTCGTGGATGGAGAAGGACCTTATGGACTTTAGAAGGCTGGAGGATTTGAAATTTTCATTGGCATCTTAGCAGAATCCTCAGATCAACTGAAGCAGTGTCTGTGTCAGGAGCTGAGGACAAACTGGACATGATAACCACAGGCAGAATCAACACTCTACAAAGCAATCAGCAGAAAAAACCCCCATCATACCTAGGGGAGGAAAAAGATTTCCATGAAGCTGGAGCTCCTGTGCTATATGTACATGTTAATTTAAGCCCTGGACTCTGTATGTACTAGAGGGAGACAGTGTCGCTTTTGGGCGATGTTTTGTACCAGTTATTCTTATTTTAGCTTTACTTTAGCTAGAAATACTGTTTTCTAAAAGCTGGTTAAGCTTGGCTAATTTATATCCACTGATAATCATGGAGAAAAGCATGCTATCTGGGGCTTGTGAGATACAGCCTTAGAAAAACAACTCTCAGTCCCTTAGACTCTGAGGAGACAAGTAACAATCTCATTCTGAGGACTTGACCAATCAGCATGAGCAGATTTTGAGAGAGTAAGTCCAGAACATAAATTACCTGAGGAAGAATAATTAAATTAAAACAGGAAATTATCAGAAGTTAAACTCTTCCCTTCCCTTGGTGGTCAGACCCAAGGTAAACTCTTGGCTGTTTTGGTGCTGCTGTTCTCTTTTCTGGCAATGATGTCCCCTGCATGGGCTTTTCAGTGCTCACAGGAGCTGGTGCCTCAGGGTTGAGGCCTTTGTCTCCCCTACCACACTAAACCATCTTGTGTCCTATGCATCTTTGTGTATTGATGTCCTGATCAAATGAGATAATAATTACAAAGTGCTTATCAGTGTCTGGTGCATAGTAAATATTTTAGAAATGTTGACTATTTCCCTTTACCTTTGGAGAATTTTGAGGCACTTGCCTGGCTGTAAGAAACAATAGTTATAGTTTTGGCAAGCAAGAGCAAGTTAATGAACCTATATTGGCCTTGGTTTTCTCATTTCTAAAGACAATGAATTAGACTAGAATTAGGAAATGACGGATTAAGGTCTGTGGGCCAAATCTGGCCATCAACCTATTTTTTGTATGAATTTGGCCTACAGAGTATGGTTTGTTGACTCCTGGACTAGATGATCTCTACAGTCTTTTACCAAAATATATGAATCTTTGTATCTTATAACTTAATTTTCTATTCTCTTCTTCATCTCCATGTTCTTGCTGACATCCAGAATATCAGCTGTCAATCTTGGAATTAAAATGTTTGGAAGTTACATTTGTCTTCATATTTACTTAGCTGGTAAGAAAGCACCAAAAGTGTTTTTTCACAATGAAACCATCATTGGTTTATAGGAAAATATTGAAATGTGCACTAACAAAGACACAGAACCTTTTCTTTGTGCCTTTCTGCCAAGTTCTTATGTAATAGAAAAAAGGCTTTGAAGACACATGATTTTAAGAGGAACATGACAGATATTTAGTTAGCATTCCTCCTTCTTGAGAATGTGAAAAAAGGGAAAATGAAAGGGTACCCACCTGATTTTGATGGTCAAAGTAAATAGCTCCATGCTATTTTATCTGGCTATTTAGAACTTGAGGGTAAGATTAGCTGGGGCAGGAGTTTCTACCAGTTGTTTCTAAACCTGTCCAGTCAGCCTGATTGTAATCTTCAAATTTCATGCATGTTCTGTTTTTGTCTCAATTTGCAGTGGAATTTGTAATATTTAGTAACTTGGAATACAACTTTTATCTTCAACCATAGAAGAGTAATATGTCTTTTCAAGGCAATATGGTGTAGTAGACTTCTTGTATTAGGAGTCCAGAGACTTGTCACTAACATGGCAAGTTGCATTATCACCCTGAGTGTCAATTTTCTCATTTGTAAAGAAGTTGGATGTGATGGTCTCTAAAGTGCTTTTAGAGAGAGTAAACTTTTATAGGCCAGGGTATCCTATGTAGAATTAATAGGCTCTATCCAAGTAATAATGTGACAACAAAAACTAATACCTACTTTAAAATGTGAGTCTTTAAAAAATGTGTGAATTGGGGTTCGGGATGGGAGAGGAAGAGGAGGTTGAGTTACAGTAAAGCACCAATGAGTCCCAGAGACAGGAATGTATCACTGGTAATTACAATCTTCTGAGTTATAGCACATTGCCAAAATTAATGCTTTCTTTGTTTATCATAATTTAATATGTTGTCAACAATCTAGTATTAGTATACAACAAAATTCTAATAGAATTATGTAAATTAGCAGGTGCCCACTTCATTGAGTACCTATTTGGAAGAACTAGCAATTATTTAGGCAGAGGAATGGTTGGATTTGATAATGTTATGTGGAAAACATTATTATGGTCAATTATATTTATTTTCATTGAATGCATGCTGTGGTGGGAAAGGAATAGAAGACGATAGCTATTTCCTACATACCAATGTCCTGGGAGCAAAACTCTATCTAGTGAGGGCAGGTAGGTGGTACAGTGGATAGAGCACTGGCCCTGGAATCAGGAGGACCTGAGTTCAAATCTGACCTCAGACACATAACACTTACTAGCTGTGTGACCCTGGGCAAGTCACTTAATCCCATGCCAAGCCACCTCCCCTCCCCCAAAAAAGAAAGAAAAATTCTCTCTGGTACAGAGATACTAAATATATTTGTTGGCTGATCAATTTTCAAAATACAGAGTCATTCTGATAAATTTTTTTTGGCCTTGGGCAAATCTCTGTTTTGTGTTTGAGGGTATGTGTGTTTAAAAAAAGTATATATGCATATGTATATATGTATGTATATGTATATAATACTATACTATATTAAATATCCTATATAACAACAAAATATATTAATTTTATTATATTACATGTAGATTGCATATTAATATAAAATACTTTAATATATTATATTATATATTATGTGATAATATACTATATAATAGTAAATAAGATCATATATAATATAGAATAGTATATTATATATACATGATATGCATACATGTATGTGTTATTATATTATAATATAGAATAGCATATATAATCCACACATACAAACACACATATGTGTATGTATACACACAATATATAAGTACAATTATTAGGTCAGAACTTTCTAGCATGTGACCTGAAATGTGCAGCATTGATAAACTGGAGAGCGTTCTGAGGTGAATAAACAGACAAAGGGCTTGAGATCATGCCACATGAGAGTTATTTGAAGGAACTTGGGATGTTTATCTTGGAGAAGACCTGGGGTTGGGAGGGTCAGTTTATAGTTGTCTCTAAGTATATGAAGGGTTGTCCTGTGGAAGAAGGATTAGACCCATTCTGCTCACTCCTAGAAGACAGAACAAGCAGTTCATGGAAGTAACAAAGAGGAAAACTGAGAGTTGATGAATGTAAGAGAAAGTCTTGATAATTAGAGCTAGACAAAAGTGGACTGGCTGCTATGGGACATAGCTGAGTTCCCCTCACTGGAAGTATTCAAGCAGAGGCTTGATGACCATTTGCTGGGTGGATTCTTGTTAAAAGTATAAGGTGGACTAGACAGTCTGAGGTTGTTTCCAGTTCTAATATTCTTTGCCTGAGAAATATCTTTGCAATCACATTATGTTTTGTTTCAAGCATGGCTCAAAATAGGATATGAATCAATGCTTTGCTTCAAGCATACAGACTCTCTTTTTCACGTCAGCATGTCAATTTGATTGACAGTTTTCCTAGTATAGAATTCCCATCCTCTAGTCTTGGTATCCTTTCCCGTCCCTATGCCACCATCTGCCCAAGTTCCTTCTTAAACCCTAAGGATAAGGATCTTTCCTTAGGCTACATGAACGATAATTACCTTTCATAGAACTGAGAGGAACACTCATTTTATGAATCATAAGACAAACCGAGATGCAACATTTCTGATTACCCAGATGATAGGCACCAGTGAATGCTGACTTTCATCTTATATGCAGTTTTCCAGACCAAAGCCTCTGGGTTGACTCTCACTAAATGAGATCCCTTCATTTTCTTACATTTACATTTGGTTTTTACTTGTTTGTGTGCTTTAAGTACACATTCCAGTGTGATACATAGTGAATACATAGTGAAAAGATACATAGTAAAAAGAGAATGAAAAGCATTTGAGATCAAATTTTTGAAAATGAAATTTTTAATTTTATACTTTATGAAATAATATTGGGTTTCACTTTCATGATTTGTCTTTGCCTTGTCATATTTTTCAGCATGCCATTTTAAAAGAGTATACTCTTTGATTTATTATCTTCCTTCAGTATCAGCAAATTGTAAAATACTATTTATCTATCAGCTATTATTTAGGTTTTTTTTCATAAATACCAGGGTTAAGATATGCAATATTTATATAAAACATTATTTTGAGTATTTAATTTTTATTTTTAAGAAAAATGAAGGCTTTTAAAAAAAATAAAGTACCTCTATGCAAAATATTTACTAGTATCTAGAATATTTAGCCTCCTAAGGGCACTATCAGATTTCAGAGAAACTCTAGCATCATTACTTTCATATAGCAGGTGTTAGTAATATTTGCTGAATCAATTAACTCTAGTATGAAACAGTTGGTGATATTGCACAAATACCTAATTACACTAAAACAGTTAAATGGACAAAAAGAAATAAAGCTGAATTTAGTTAAGAGAATAAAAAAATGGAAGGGATAAAAACTGAACACCCAAGGGTTGCCATAGTATGATATGTCTCTGCTGGCTTGTACACTGGAAAATCCAATTAACAATTAAATGGCAAAAGGCCACAGTCTTTAGTCTGTGGTTTTTCATAATTTTAACCTAATTTTCTTCCTTCTTTTTAAATATCACAGCTATTAAAATTTTCCTTTCATGTCAATCATGATCCAAGGTAGGAGCTTGCTCTCTGTGTGATGATCTTCACTCTCACCCCATCTTTGCTTCTCTTCTCTGAGATGTCAGTTTAGGAAAACCACTGAAATGAAAGCAAAAAGGGAAGGAATACAGAAAAGAAAAGAAATGGTTAATTATTTCACAGACTAGATTAGTAAATGTTATTCTCCATAAGAACAAAAAATAAAAAAATAAAAAACCAAGGTGAATCAGGAAATGGATGGCCTTTTCAAGTCACATGAATCAGTTCCCCAGAATTCATCATTTTCACCAAGTATATAATATTTTGGTTATTATTATCATTGTTCATTTTTAAAGAGATGAAATTAATATCCTTACCCTGAAACAGTGTAGTATAAAAGGGGAAGGAGTCTGAGTAGCTAGGTTGGAGTCTTGAGCCACTACTTGCTAATTGTGTGATCTTGGACAAATCACCTAACCCATCTATCCTCAGTTTTCTCATCCTAAAAATGTGAAGTATGGATGAGATGACCACTAAGACCCCTACTTCTCTAAAGGCACCTCTCTATTTTAAAATATAATGTTTCCTTTCAATAGAGTAGTATTTTCAGAAAGAAAATTAAATCTAATGCAGAAAAGAGCTAATTGTTTACAATTCATCTTCCTAATTTGCTACCTTCAAAGGGTGGATCTATGTTAATACATACATATACATATGTGTGCACACACACAAACATGCTTAGCGTATTTGGAAAATACAGAGCTAAATGTTGATGTCGATTATCAGAGTGAGCCACTGATGATCCCCACTTCACAACTTACTCCCTGGTATTAAATCATGTGCTTAGGTAGACCATTGCTTCTGTAGCAGACCATGAATACACCCTTTAATTCACCAAATATTTTCTTACAGCGAGTTAGGCCCTGGGGGGAATGCAGCCCTATTACAGAACAATGAACCTGCATGAATAACTTTTTTTCAGTATGAAATTTCTGACTTTTGGAAGTTGAAAAGAAAACTTTTCAGTCTCCAATCACCTTTGCAGCTGCTTGACCCATAACAGTTCCCCTCACACACATCTCCTGGGATACTGAATGAGGCAGACCATTAAAGTATTCCAGGCTGATATCTACACACTAGGAACAGATGTGTAATACTTTTAGTTTTACGGTGTGACAAGAGCGAATACTTGTTCTAGTGGCTTCTGACTGTGGGGCATGTGAGCAAACATGAAGGGAATTATGGGAATGGATTCATTGACTTTCCACTGGAGTGCCAGATATAGAAACATAAGAACTAGAATTTGAACTTCTGATTTTAAGACTAATGCTTTTTCCATTATAGCTTTTAGGTGTCAAGTCATGTCAACATGTACCATTTAGTAGGTATGTTCAGTCATTTCATTCATGTCTGACTCTTCATGACCCCATTCGAGGTTTTCTTGGCAAAGATACTAGAGTGTTTGCCATTCCTTCTCCAGCTCATTTTACAGATGAGGAAACTGAGGCAAATGGAGTGAAGTAACTTGCCCAGGGTCACATAGCTAGTATGTGTCTGAGGCCATATTTGAACTCAGGTCTTCCTGACTCCAGGTCTGGCACTTTTCCCATTTTATCACCTAGATGCTTCAAAATTGTAATACTTTTATAGTTGTAATACAGAGTTTCAATGAGTAGAAGCCTAGAATCAACCAGTTTGATTGAAATCAACCCAATTCAATGAACACTATCTACTATGTAGAAGCTACTGTGCTAGGCTCTGGAGATCCAAAGGAAAAAAAACCAATCAGTTTCTTCCCTCAAAAAGCTTACATTTTATTGGGGGAGGGCAATCCCAAAATGTAAGCAGCTAAGTATAAACACTATAATTTGAGGAAGGAGGGAGCATGGATGATGATAGGTATCAAGAAAGGTCTCCTACAAAAGGTGGCAAATGAGCTGAGACTTAAAGGAAGATAGGGATACTAAGTGGGAAAAGTTAGGAAGGGATATGTTTTAAGTATGGGGGATACTCTGGGTAAAGGTATAGAGGTGGGAGATTGACTGCTGAGTTTGGCTAATTGCAAGTAGGCCAGGTGGAGTGAATTATAAAGTGTGTGAAAAGGAGTATCGTGATTTCCAGAATAGAAGAAGGCAGGATGAAACCAGAGTATTATGGGTTTAAATGCCCAGTGGAGAAATTTATATTTTATTTTAGAGGTAATAGCAGGCTACTGAAGTTTCTTGAGCAAGTGAATAACTTGGTCAGATTTGTGCTTCTGAAAACTTATTTTGAATATTTATTATGTGGAAGAAGACAGGCAGAGTGGTACAGTGGCTAGAAAGCTATTTCAGGGGCAGGAAGACCTGGGTTTAAGTCTTGCTTCTGACACATGGTGGCTTTGTGATTCAGGGTAAATCATGTCACCTGTCAGTGCCCTAGAGAATTCTCTAATAAAATAAATTTCAGGTAAGGATCTGACATTATTAGTAGAGAGTTTCTTTATCCAGGATTTCTCTGTACCAAAGAAATCACTGGTCTAGTTTCCATTGCTAACGTAATGTTATAAGAATACAGTAAACAGGGAGGAACCTATTACTTTAAGGATGTTTAGGGAAACAATATGTTATAGTGGGTGGAACTGAAAATAGTGGGTAGAAACAAAAGGCTTATTATATTCTTTCAATCTCCTTATTTTCGAGAAAAGTCAGTAAAAGTCTAGGTGCTCTAGGTAACTTTCTGACTCTAAGTTACAGAGAACAGGTGGATCTTCATTGGTAGAGGGTATTTCCTCACCCAGGAGTTCCCTATATCACTGAAATCTATCCCCACATGAAGAATGATTTGGAGCAAGAAGAAACTAGAAGCTAGAAGTCCAATTAGGAGACTCACAATAATGTAGGCTACAGTTAGGGTCTGAGACAGAATAGAGCAAAGTATTAGGGATATATCGAAGAGGATCTGTCACGTTCCTCATATCTCTCCTGCTTCTCTTCTGACCTTTCTGTTGCCCTCTATATTTATTTTTTCTACAAAGTTTTCCTTCTCTTGGGGCCTCTGAACCAGGGTAACAGAGTAAAAAGCAGGCTGATGTTCTGGAAACAGCACGAGGTCTGGAAGTAGAAAACCTGCCAGTTAGAAGCTATGCTGCTTTGGGGAAGTTACTTTAGTTCTCCGAGTCTCAGTTCCTACAAAACAGGAAAAGGCATGCCATTTTACACAGTTCACAGGGTTATTGTGAGAATCAAATGAGATACAGATATGGCCTAGGTGAAGGAAGGGTGTCTGAAACCTCTTCAGTGTCTCTGGCCCAGTTAATTGTTCATCAATGACTTTGGCAGACTAATCGAGAAAGTGGGGAACTTGTAGTAAAGTAAAAGTGTAAAAAAAAAGTATAGTAAAAGTAAAAACTCCTTCAAATAAGAGACACAGTCCCATAGCAGGGGAGTCACAGAGTATCTCACAATTCCTTCTGAAAATTAAAAATTGCTGAAAGGGTCTGATTAAGATGTTTAGGATCGTTTTCACAAAGTTTTCCTACTATCCATTGGGAATCTGTTGGCCCACTGTGTAAGTCATAGATGTAGAATTGTAAGGGACCTCAGAGGACATCTAATGCAATCCCCTCATTTTCCAGTAAAGAAAACTGAGGCTGTTACCCTGTTAGCCCCAGGGGGAAGTTAACTCCCATTAACACTTCTGGACTTTGTGATTTTAAACTGGCAGTAATCCAAGTCTGGAATACACTCCCTCCACATTTTAGCCTCTTAGAATTCCTAGTTTCAGTAAGTGCTACCTTCTACATAAAGTCTTTCCTGATCCCAGAAGCTGCTAGCAGGAGTTGGGAACCTTTGGCATCAGGGCCACATGTGGCCTTCTAGGTCCTTGGATGTGGCCTTTTGACTGAGTCCAGGCTTTACAGAACAAATCCTTCTTCTCGCCCAGCTCCATTATCTTTTATATACTTTGTGTCTACATAAGAATATGTTGTTTCCAATAGGCATATTGTAAAGTCCTTGAGGGCCAAGGACTTTTACTTTTTGTGTTTGTGTCCCTGGCACCTAACACAGTGACTGGCACTTAGGAGGCATTCAATAAATGGTTGATGATTGATAGATTGAACAAAGTCAAATAAGTAGTGTCTCAGGTGGGCTGAAACTTGGAAACCTTGAATTTAAACTTGCTTTCAGGAAACCATTGCTACTCTCCTAAAGGTGATTTCTCATTATCAAAGAATAACTGACATAAAGTATTATGCACTCTAAAAGTTGTAGTTTGAAGGTGGGGCTTAGTCACATTCCTCATTGCTATGTATGTTTTCATCAAAACCAAGAAGTGTGGTTTCCCTCTGACTACAGTATTAAAACCCTTATTACCCAATTTGCCTTCCTCCTCAGCTCATCTGTTTCCATCCTGAGTGCACGCAAGTGCCTATGCACATGGCGCACACGCACACACACACACACACACACACACACACACACACACACACACACACTCCTTCTCCAAGGAATAGCAGTAAAAGCTGTTATCAGGGCCATAACTAGGGTGGAGCAACTGGAGTTTAACCTGGCAGTGTAGAATCAACCAGCTTAGTTCCTATTGAGCAAGAATAGACATTTTCTAGCTGTGTGACCCTGGGCAAGTCACCTAATCCTGCTGGCTTCACTTCCTCACCTGTGAAATGAGATGGAGAAGGAAACGGCAAACCACTCCAGTATCTTTTCCATGAAAACCCCAAATGGGGTCATGAAGAGTTGAACATGACTGAAACAATTCAACCATAACAATAATTAGTCAAAAAAAGGAAGTTAGAAAATGGGCTAGGGTGAGTACCTTTCCTCTTGCCCCCTTTCTAGCTCAGTGGGGCTCCTATATAAACAATTTATAGAGATTCCCAATCATAAGACCATTACTTCAGAGCTGGGAACTTGGAGGTAATTCTCCCCATTTTTGAAAATGAGGAAACTGAGACCTAAAAAGGTTAAAAGACTTGCTCAATGTTACACAGAGCCAGAGTTTGAACTGAGAATAGAGTCTATGTTCCCAAACCAGCTTGCTTCCCCTTCAGTGTGCTATCTTGCATGGCTCAGGGCACAGGGGTGAGGAACTTTTGTCCTGGAGACCGTATGTGGCCTTCTAAGTCCTCAAGTGTGGCCCTTTGACTGAATCCAAATCCAACAAAATGCTCTGCGAAGTTTGGATTCTGTCAAAGGGCCACACTTGAGGACCTAGAGGGCCACATGTGGCCTGCCGGCCGAAGGTTCCCCACCCCTGGCTCAGGGTACATAATGGAGACCACTAAACTATCTCCAGGCTTTGTTGATGTCTCTTTATGACTATTCATATCCAAATGGAATGGGTTCCAGGGACACACTCAAAGCTGCATAAATAAATATATTATGTATATATATGAATGATACATATATATGTGATATAGTATTATGTAGATTTTTTTTTTACAGTTCTTAAGTTATGACAACTACCTGTGATCCTTCATTGGAAGGAGGAAGAAACTGTTATAAAAGTTGAAAGGGTTCAAGAAAGCTACTGAAATGACAACATTGGTTTATAATGATACATTTTACACTGGAAGTTTGGTTGAGCTTACGTGGCAACTTTAATTGTAGATTAATGGCCTATTTACCTAAAAAAGAAAAAGCCTTTATGTCAGAATATTTGTTAGGGAAGAATGAAAGAACTTTTCACTACAAAGATATCATCTTTCTAGTCAAAGTAAAAACAAAAAGGAAAAAAATATCACCTCCCTACCCACATGCCCACACAGTCACACCAGAAAAGGGATGGGACACAATTTCAAGAATTTTTTTTCTATGAAGTTTTAACCTGAGTTATCTATTGTTTATGGTAGTTCAAAAAGCATCCCCCACTCGAGGAAATCATCAAAGAGTAAGAGAAATGGTTTCAAAAGTATTGGTTATTGATTTCTACCCTTTGGAGTTAGTTATATGTCCAGGGACTAGCTACTTGAGCTGCCTTTCTTACGAAATATGTTCATTAAATATATTTATGTTCTTGATTTAACTAATTAAATTACAGTAAGAACTAGGAATGCAATCGAGCATATATCTATATCTATATCTATATATATCCAGAAGTTCAGGGGTTTACACTTCAACAAGTGGAACCCTAACTCCAAGACTTGCCCAAGTTACCACCTATTAATACGTCTATAACTTTCATCTCATAGAATGCATGAGATTTGAAAGTAGACAGAAAGACGCAACAAACTGAAAATAGGACGGTACCAGGAGCACCCATATGTTCCAGCTACAGTCTAACATGCCCTGATCCCTTACCAGTTCCCCCTTCCCGCCGCCCCCTGCACAGTAACTGTTACTGTACCTGGAGTCTGCAGGTTTCGCTGCCTGTAGGGGCCCAAGTGCCACGTCTTAGTGCCTGGCCCTCACTTTCTCGGGACCTTTATATAGAGCTCCCCTAAAAATAGCCTGAAAGAGACACGTCGATAGAGAGGAGGAGGGAAGAAAGAGGAAAAGAAGGCGGGGTAGGGAAATGGGAGCGAAACAGTTTTAACGTGGCAGAGGAGGGGGGAAAAAGAAAAAAAACAACAGGCTAACTCATATATGGGGGGTTGGGAGAGAAGCTAAGGAGACTTGAGACGTGTTTGCCTCTGGGCCAACTAGGGGAATGGTCGTGGTCGGGGGCGGGGTCGGCTTGGCCCGGGCGGGGGGGAGGGCAGTGATTTGGGGAGCCTCCCTCCGCAGGGTCCCTCCAGGAGGTGGGGTGTTTGTAGCTGGCCCACGTTCTCAGGTTTCACTCATTCAGAGAGGAGGAGGGACGAGAGGGTGTAGGAGAAGGGGGAGGTAAAGGGGGAGGAGGAAGAGGAGGCGGCGGCTGCGATGCCGAGTCTCCCCTGCGCAGCTCCAGCGGCAGGGGGTGGAGGCAGCGGCGGCCGGCGGCGGCGGGGGAAGGGGGCGGAGAGGTTTGGGTAGCTGCTCACAGCTGGACTCAGTGGAGAGCGCGAGGAGTCCCAGAGAGTCCTGGAGAGGGAGTCTGTGAGTGCGAGTGCGAGTGGCGAGGGGGACCCCTCTCCGCGCCGCCCGCTCCCCGGCTCCTCTTCCCCTGGCGCGCGCGCTCGCTCCGCTGGTACCGAGCTGCTGCCGCTGCGGCTGCGGCTACCGCCGGCGCCGGGGCTGAGCGGCCGGCGGGGAGCCGCGCGGGGCACGGGCTGCTGCGGCTGCGGCTTCGGCTGCGAGACAAGGGGAGGAGGAGGACGCTCGCTTCGGGCTTGCTGCTGCTCCGGCTGCCGAGGCGTCGATTTCCCTCCGGCCTCTCCCACGGACTCTGCTGTCTCCTCCGGGCTGTCCGGCGATTTGGAGATCCCCGGCTCCCTTCTACCTGCTGCTTGCCCACGGAACTGGATTTATCACCCAACTTTCCCATCTCACCCCGGCCAAGCCGGCACTTGGTGCGAGCTTCGTCTCCTCTACAGACTCGGCTCCTGGTCCCAAGACGCTGCCCCCCGCGCCCCCAGCCCCCCAGTGGGGGGGTTCGTGTTTTGGAGGGGCGTGTGGGGGGGAGGGAAGGGGACTTAGACGGGGGTCTTTCTGTTTGACTTCCTTTTGTGGGGACCTGAGAGGACTGCGGAGCGTCTCCAGGCACCCAAGTGCTCGATGACCTGGGCAAGAAGCCGGCACAGCACCTGGTGAGAGCCCTTTCTTTCCTCCTCCTCTCCTTGTCCCTGCTGTTGTTCCTCGGTTCCCGCAGCACCTCTACGCAGCTTGAGGGGTGGGGGGAGCAGGCTCAATGATCGCTTGTGCTTAGTTCTTGAACTGGTCAGGAGGATTGATGGGCTCGTGGCATCTGAACAGCATCAGGTTGCTGGGGATGGTCTGGGGAAGGGGACTGGCGCAGGATTCTGATTATGCAGGTCATCATTGGAGCTTCCAGAGGTGCTGAGATTTCTTGGCTGCGGTGGATCTACAGTTCCGCTACTCAGCTGGTTGTAACTTAGTTTACATCCTAGACTTTAGTATGCCTGTGCCATGTATACAAAGGAGAGTGTGAGGTTGTATGTATGGCAGTGAATGCAGTGGGAAAAAAGAGATCCTCTAAGAGAGGCATTTGGGGGAACAGTGAAAATTAACACTGACTTTTTTTTTTTTTGCAAGCCTCCCCTTAAAAGGAGCGTAGGCTAAAGGAGACAGGCAGAAGGGACAAGCAGAGGCTTTAAACCTTCTGAGTCTCGTGATTGCCTTAGTCTCTTCTGGGAACAACTTTTCTTGGTCTGTTTGGAGGAGATTGCTGGAGAATGTGAAAAATGTGTTTAGTTGGGGGTCCTGGGATTGTAGAAAGACTTGAATTCTCCTAAAAGGAGATGCATAAGGAAGCAGGTATTCCTTACTCTGAATGGAGGCATAAAGTGTTGAGAGTTCCCACTACTACGGAATGATGATGATAATGCACGTTTCTTATTAGAAACAATAAAGGGGTCTCGTGCGTGGGTTGGGGTAGGGGAGAAACATTTTTTCTTCTTGGGATCACTAGACTCTGGGACTAGTTTTTCAGTGTCCAAAGATCTCTCATCCACTGTATTCTACACCCCCACTCCACCACACTCTTTCTGCTAACCCAGTTTCAAAAGGAATCTTGAATCTTATCTTCTGGCAGGATTGGAGAACAACTTAGTTTAAAGGGAAAAAGGGAGTCTCTAAATGGGATTTTTAAGTCTTCTTACTTCCAGAGACTAGTTCTCTAATTTTTTTTTGTGTACTGGAATCCCAGGAGTCTGATAGGATTTGGCGGGAAAGCGTTATCCGATCCTTTTCAAGACTGCTAGCCATTTGTTTTACCTGGATGCTGCTGATAGAGTTGGGAATTTAACTTTTCATTGGTTGCTAGGCCTCAGGATTTCCGGCAGGAGGCGCTGAGAGCGAGCGCTCTAGCTTTAGAGAGCCTGCTGTAGGCGCATTTGGTAGAGACATCAATAAGCAAGCACTTTGAGGGTCACTGTCGGAAAGGGACAGAGGGCAAATCCTGCAACTGTTTCATATTAAGGAAAGACTTCCTTGTTGATAGGAGAGAGGTGTCAGAACTTGCATGCAGAAGGGAGAGGAATGATGTCTTGAAAAATACTTACTTTTAAACTTTGGTTTGAGCTTGATGCATAAAGTCACAGACAATTCCTGTGTGGGTATAGTTTGTAAATTTTGTGTTTGCTCAGGAATAAATTGGAATCTTATCGATAAAATGTTATAATTAAGGTTTTAAGATGAATGCCCACCAGGGAGTTGAAGATTAATCATCTGGTGCTTCTTGTGTTGTGTATGTATATTTAATGTTTACCCCCTTACAGATGACATGTAGAAGTTGGGAAGAGTTTGTGTTATTGGTTATGTTTGGTTACAGCGGTCCTGTTATTTACTATTTTTAATGTAAGATTTTAAAAATGCAATTGACATTAATATTAGGGTATTGATGGAATTGCTAATGAATATAAAATTTGAAACGCATTTTTGACAGAAAAACATAGCCTTGGATGTAGTGTAATGTTTGGTTATCCTTAAAGAAGCTGTTTTGAGTGACCAGTATATAATTTCAATGAAGAGAAGATATCAAAGCAATATGGTAACAGTTTTTTAGTTTGTGAACAAATGGGGCAATGTGTTGGGCAATTGGATGATTCTCATTGACAGAAACATTTAAGTCATCATTTTATTAAAATACAGCTGGCATGTGTCTTTAAATACACTGATGCAAAAGGCTCAACACAAACTCTTTAAAATGTTATACTCAGTTCAGTTATGATCAAACATATTCTTTTCTCTGTCTTTGGTTGTTTTCCCAAGGGTAGACAAGATTGCTCAAAGTCTCTAAAGATTTTTGAGGAATTTCTTGTCCATTTAAAAAAATTAAAGAAGTAATCAGATATCTTAACTACATCTTGTCAAAACCTAGTCTTTTAAAAATGTTTGTGATGGAATAGTAGCTCATCCTGAACAATTTTGTCAACAGACTCTACAAGTGTGTATTATGTCTTCATGTTGACTGTATGTATATACCTTTAAATGTGTTTGTGTTTTAATTGTTTGCCTCAAGAAAACAAATGGAAGATGTGATGATAATAGTCTTTTTATGACTTTTACTAAAAGGGACCCTCTCACTTAGTTGTTTTAATGGTGAACAGCTGCAAGACCCCTGCTGAGAGAAAAGCATTTATACTCTTGGGTGGTAAAGCTTGTCTTTGTCCAAAGAGGGGATTTTGAAATGTTGAGAAGTGCATTAGGATAAACTCTTGTTATAGTTCAGCTGCATTTTCCATTTGAGACTGTTTCTTCACATTGGCATGTATTAACCTCTAGAGTCAAGTACCATAAGGTTTGAAGCCTCTTCCCGGTAGGTGTTTGTTAAGAGATGGGCAGGAGGCATAATGTCAAAGATGTGATGGAGCCATCGTCACAGGCTAATTTGCAGACTGCTACAAAAGTGTCAGACAACTGCCTTTTGACAGAACATATTTATGCATAAGACAGTTCATTAATTTGGATTTGTCTTTTTTTTGTTCTTCCTGTTTGTCTTATCAGGTCATTGGAATTAAGCCTTAGCTATTATTGGATATGCCCTAAAGTGTAGAAAACAAAACTCTGTGACCCAAAAGTTAAAAGATGTAAAAAGATCACAATATAAAACAGTACAAAGCAATCATCAAACACATTTAAACTGTTGAAAAAAAAAACCTGCTACAAGGAATTGCTTTGGATCACCAGTTTTAAAAAGTGGCAGTAATACATACGGCATTACTAAATGAATTAGATTGAAATAATATCTCACAATCAAGATTCTAGTACTTTATAAATGATAATTTGCATATGGCCCTATTATATTTTACTTGAGCCCCCTAAAAATTTTGATTCTAAAATTACCTTTTCATCTTTTTATATTGGAAATAAAAAAAGTTGCCATAGTTACTTATATACATTGGTAGAAGGCTTTTATAATTATAACACAGATGTGTCAAGAAAGTCCTTATTTTTAGTGCTAAATAACTATAGAATATAATTAAGTTTCTATTCAACTGTTGAGTTAGACAAAATTTTCTAATTTGGGAACTCAACTTATCTCTGCCTATAAAGGAAATTATAAGAGAATAAATTCACTTATAAACTTGGCTAAACTTTATTTGTCATATTTAACAAATATTTTCCATAATCAAATATTTTCCAGTAGCTTTCTTTACACCACAAACTTAGCAGTTATATTGATTCATTTGCTAATTAAAAAATTATTTTGTCTGTTGAACTGCAGAAATGACCTGCAAAAGGTAGGTGGCAATCTGATATTTCTTATTCCTTCAAAATTGAAGTATTCATGTAGCCCAAATAAGCCAGGAGAGGAAGATCTCAAAGGGAAACAGCTTTTCTAAAGTCAGCCAAACAAGCATTTATTAACAGTTTTCATTTTACCAGACATGTGCTACACACTGGGAAAGCAAAGAAAGACAAAAATAGTTATTTTGCCCTCAAGGAGCTTATGTTCTATTAGGAAAATGTAGATAGCTAGTTATACACAAGATATATCTGCGGCAGTTAGAGAAGACACTTTGCTTGATGCATTTCACTTATTAATTTTGTGTCATAAATTTGTCAAGTACTGATTAATTGTAGAAGCTACTCGGTATTTGACTAAGGGGGGGCACTCTAAAGTGACTTAGAATATCAACAGAAGAATCCAAAATCTCTTAAGATTTCTACCTGGTGAAAGATTACACAAGACTTTTTGGCTTGGAAGCTAAGAAAATTTTCAAATTCTGGA